GTGGGAGCAGTTTTTGGATCCTTCCTTGGGCGTGAACACCTCCGTTGGGAGATACTACTTCTCCGTATCAGGTATAATTCTCTCCTACTCCTTTTGGTTCAGATCTGATTCAGTTTAAGGTTCAAGAATGATCCTTGAAAATATGATTTTGTAAATAGGGAATGCGATTCCCAGTTGAAGGGAGAGAAAAATTTTTAAAATTCGCCCCTTATTCCGCAATCTTTGGGCGTCCATAGGATGGATCTCTCATCCCTTCAGTTAGATCCACTATCAGTCATTTAGGAGCACTATTAGGGTTTCATCACGTGTCTTACGAGATCTCTTATAGGTTGACCTTCCTGTTACCCGAGAATTCTCATAATCTGCACATACTACTTCCTTTCGCATCCTACTTAATTGACATGGCGCTAGTGGTGTTATTGTTTTGATGGGTGCATCTTTGCTAAACTTATGTAGCACATTACCACGTGCGTAATTTAAAGTCACACGTTTAACCAATATTTAACTCCGGTTCATCGTGACTCATATTTCTATAATGGTATCAGGTTCGTCACAGGGCCGCGTATCTCTAGAGTTCATTGCAGAACTATGCGCCATAGGTTTATCTCAAGGTCGTTTGTGTCCAAGGTTCATCGCAAAACCAAATTCGTATAGAATTCATCATAGGTTTAACTAGAACCTATTTTAGGCTCGGATCAAGCATGAGTCCATCGTGAATGTGTGATGAACTATGTGTTTATTGCAAACGTGCGATACACTACAAGTTCATCGCAGGTGACCGGTAAGCTAAAGACTGATCGCAGACGTCCATATGGTATCGATTCAATGTCTTCTGGACTCTGAAGGACTGAGCGAGCACTATGTACCTACAATAGGGAGACATCCCGAGGTCCTGAAAGGAAGGAGCCAAAAGTGTTTGATTCCCATTAGGAAAAGGAATATTGGATTCGATGTCAGTTGTTAGGAAACACTGTTAGGGGTTTCGCCACATGTCTTATGAGATATCTTAAGGATGAGCTTTCCTTTCGTTTGAGGATTCTGATAATACAC